CAGCTGGGACTTGTACCTGTCTTACCTCACTTGCTCACCTCTTGATCTTACTTGTACTCTTGCATATATATATACCTGCTCTTGCTTGTTTAGTGTTATATATATATGTGTACTCCTGCATGTGAACTGGCCTTGTGGCCTTGACCTTGTGCTCGGACTGTGTGGTGACTTTGTGATCCACCCTGAGCTTGCTTTGCTTTGCTTGACTGGTCTTGTGACCCCTTGTTCTCCCCCACTTTGCCTATGGGGGTGTGTTAGAACATATAGCTTTTGCATATTGTGTAGGCTATAGTGGGGTATCCCATAGGGGGTACAACCCAATTAGGGTTAGTACTTGTACCCACTTCATTCATAGTTCATTCTTTCGCGTTCACTTATTCACAAGTGGACCCTACGCAGAGCTGGTGGGCTGCCTCATGTACCTGATGACTTGTACTCGACCGGACCTCGCCTTTCCCCTCAGCATCCTTTCTCGCTTTGTTCCGACTAGGAGACACTGCCCTGTCCTCTGGACAGCTGCTGTGAGGGTGGCGAAGTACCTGGCTACTACATCAGGCATGGGGCTTGGGCTTGGAGGGACTCAACCAGTGTCGTTGACTGGTCACTGCGACTCTTCCTACGCTAACGACGTGGAGACTCAGCGCTCGACTCAGGGCTACTGTTTCAGTCTGGAAGCTGGTGCTGTGTCGTGGAGGTCTACACGGTCGTTGTCTGTGGCTACTTCTAGTGCAGAGGCAGAGATCTACGCTGGTGCCATGGCGGCACAGGAGCTTCGCTGGTTGACCTTCTTTCTCGCCGACCTTGGTGAGCGGCCTCGCTCTGCACCGACCTTGTATGCTGACAACAAGGCCATGATCCTCCTGTGTCGAGAGCCTCGACTAGAGAGCAGAGTTAAGCATATTGACGTAAGGTACTTCCTCCTGCGAGAGCTGCAGCGACGCGGCCAGGCACGCCTGGACTTTGTGGCCTCAGAGGCCAACACTGTAGACGTCTTCACCAAGGCCTTGGCGCTTGGTGATCACCACAGGTTCTGTGTGCAGTTGGGGCTTGTTGAGGTAGGCCCTCGGTTGCTGTAGTCTTGTTGTTTGCTCTGCTTGTTGTGCTTCCTATTAATATCCTAGTGAACTCTTGAACTGGCGTTGTGGCCGCTTGCTTGCGCTCGGAATTTGTGTGGTGTCCTTGAGATCCACCCTGAGCTTGCCTTGTTTCTTGCTTTGTCTGGTCTTGTGACCGTTTGTTCCCCTTGCTCGCTTTAATGCCCCTCACTTAGCCTTTGGGGGTGTGTCAAATGTAATTCTATGCTTGTAGGTTAGAGTGAGTAGCACAATAGGGAGTACAGTTGTTAGGGTTGCATATTTATACATCCACACTTTCTAGTTTTACCATTCCGTTGCATTCCTATTCTGAGACCCTCCCCTTACCGCAACCCCCCCACCCCTCTCCCTCCCCTCCCCCATCACCCATGCATCCACCCACCCACCCTCGTCCAGCCCTAAGGGCGCCTGTGATCTATGAATTTTGCAAAAGTTTACTGTTTAGAGCCGAATGTAGCTGCTCATATAACCTTATGATTGAAGTGGATGGGATAAGTCTGCTAAGTTGAGAGAAGACAGTGAAGTCTTGGTAGTGACCTTGTTGGAAGAGAGCAAGATTATCATAAGATATGAGCAGGGGAAATATTATCAGGGTAAATCACCCTGATACCCTGATAATCAAGGTGGTTTTTGGGGGTCACACTGATGGCCCCGGGTACTTTTTTTAGGAGCTAGTTTTACCATGATGAACCAGGGTTTACATTTATGTCATACTGATGCAAGGGTTCCCGGATCCCATAACGAGTTTTACCCTGAAACGAGTACCCTACCCCCCCCCCCCCCCCCCCCCCCCCCCCTCACCCCCCAGTACCCCCACCCCCCCTTTCCCGTAACCCTGGAATCCCGATTGCCAAGTGTCGAAGCCTGATTTTCGGCCTTGACAGCGCATGTGCTGGCACACATTGGGCCACCATTGGCCAGGCTTACAATTTCTTTGTATTGAGTGCAAGTATAAAAACTAGTGAACGGGGTTTGTTTTTTATGAACACTGATGCGCCAGGGTATATTTTTCCAAAACGGGGAAAACCCTGATGGGAAAGTTTTTTCACATGGAGTCCACTGATAATCAGGTTTTTGAGCCTGTGCCACACTGATCGTAAGGGTAGGCCAAATCCAAAAATTTGCCCTGGATATGAGTACAAGGAAGGGCCTCTTAGAACTTAGGCATGAAAAGCATTGGAGATTAGGTCAAGGTTGGGGTACAAAACTAGAGTGTCGAGATAATTTATGTAACCCCTAAGGCTAGCCCCAATATAGCCTAGATAACAACATTCATATATTTTAACACACCCCCTAAGTGCCTTGGTGAAGATATCAGCAGTGTTGGACCGAGTGGCCACGTGAGCAAGTCGAAGCCGACCACGCTGCTGCAACTCTTGAGCCAGGAAGTAACGCAGAGCAATGTGCTTCGTTCTGTGCTCCAGTCTGTGCTCTTGACACAAGGCAATAGCGGCCTTGTTGTTGACGTACAGCACTGGAGGAGAACGAGGCCGCTCTCCCAGGTCAGTCCGCATGTAGGTGAGCCAGCGTAACTCCTGTGCAGCCATGGCTGTGGCGTAGATCTCATGCCTCACAACTGGAGCTGAGAACTGAAGACGAGCGTGTAGAACGCCAAGAAACTGAACCAGAGCCAAGGCTGAAGGTGCAACCCTGTGACGACCGCTGCGTAGCCTGGTCGTCAACCCAAGAAGCGTCCGAGTGATCAGTGAGGACAACATCGCCCCGTCCTCCAAGCACGAGCCCCATGCCCGATGTACCACACAAGTAGCGGAGTACCCTCTTAGCAGCATCCATATGCACCTTTCGGTTCCAACCAGGAGCCATGTAGCAAGCCAGAAGGCAAAGAGGGTACACGAGGTCAGGACGAGTGCAGGTCATCAGATACATGAGGCAGCCAATTAGCTCTGGGTAAGGACCACTCGGCTCTATGGACTCGTCCGAAGGTGGAGCTGAGAGCGAGTGACCTGTAGCCAGAGGAGTGGCTTGTGCCGAGGACCAGGAGAAGCCGAAGCGCTGAAGGACCTGCTGCACCATGTGTGACTGAGTCAGGGTGATGGTGCGGCGTGCTCTGTCCCGGGTGATCTGCAAGCCAAGGTAACTGCGCAGCTCACCCAGGTCTGTGCACGTGTGTCTCTTCTACAGCTCCGACTTCACCAGGGCGAGAGCCTCAGTGTCAGCAGTGGCAAAGACCAAGTCGTCGACGTACACAAGGATGTAGAACGGCGGCAGCGAAGTGTCGGTGCGCAGAAACAGCGACGGGTCAGCAGTCGATAGAGCAAACCCAAGAGGCGCAAGTGTCGTCCTCAGTGTGTCGTGCCACTCGCGTGGCGCCTGGTGGAGACCGTAGACCGGCCGCCGGAGGCTCCACTGGGTACCAAGAGGGAACGACCCAGTGAAGCCAGGCGGGCGGCGTAGCCAGATCTCCTCGTGCAGGCTATCCTGTAAGAAAGCTGTGCTGAAGTCAAGAGAGTGAAGCTCGTATTCACGCTGAGCAGCAAGGTGCAACAGCACCCGAAGAGTGGTCATCTTCGGGGTGGGGGAGAAGGTCTGGAAGAAGTCAACTCCCTCTCGCTGACTGAAACTTCGAGCAACATAACGAGCCTTGAAGACAGGCGGAGAACCTGGCGGCCGCTTCACCCTGAAAATCCACATGCCACTGACGATGTTCGCCCCAGGAGGGGGAACCTCGTCGACGTACGTGCCTGTGGACTTCCAGGATGCCATCTCTGCGTCCATAGCCTGACTGCCACCGAGAGGAGTACTCACCCGCGATCGTCTCAGCGTAAGAGCGCGGGGTCGAGATGTTTGGAGCATCCGGGTCTCACTCAGGGGCAAGCAGCATGGCCACGAGATGAGGCGCAGTGGCCGCAAGACACTCAAGGTCCTCGTGCCTGTCCTCAAAGACGTCCGTGCTGAGAGCACACTCACCCCCGACGGACGGAGGACAGACAGACTCAGACTCAGCAACAAGACTAGCAGCGTAGTCTAGCAAATTCGACTAGCCCAGTGACTAGGGCAAACGCAGCAGTGGAATCAAACGACGGGTCAGTGACAGCAGTGGCTAACAGACGCGTGACAGTAGGGTGCTCAGTACGAAAATTGTTATGAAGAAGACGTGATTGCACTATGAAAGTTGGAGTACAAGTAGGAAACCCTAACTTTGTGTACCCCCTAAAGGCTAACCCACTATAGCCTACACAATGATAACACATACAGTGTTTGACACACCCCCATAGGCAAAGTGGGGGAGAACAAGGGGTCACAAGACCAGTCAAGAAAGGCAAGCAAGCTCAGGGTGGATCACAACGTCACCACACACTCTGAGCACAAGCAAAGGGCCACAAGGCCAGTTCACATGCAGAAGTATGTATAAGTAGTACAGACAGCAAGGGTGATCTCAACCTAGCAGTGCAAACAGGCAGGAGTATATATAGAGATCACAGTACATGCAACGCATACAACTAGTGAGGCAAAGTGGGCACTAGCCCCAACAAAGTACAGAAGCGCTGATGATCACCAGGCTGAAGTGCCTTGGTGAAAATATCAGCGGTGTTGGCCTGAGAGGCCACGTAGCGCAGACGAAGCTGACCACGCTGCTGTAGCTCACGAGCAAGGAAGTAACGGAGAGCGATGTGCTTCGTTCTGTGCTCCAGTCTGTGCTCCTCACACAAGGCAATGGCAGCCTTGTTGTCGACGTACAGCACTGGAGGAGAACTAGGCCGCTCTCCAAGGTTGGTCAGCAGGTAGGTGAGACAGCGTAACTCCTGTGCAGCCATGGCTGTGGCGTAGATCTCTGCCTCACAATTGGAGCTGAGAGCTGAAGACGAACCCGTAGAGCGCCACGAAACTGAACCAGAGCCAAGGCTGAAGGTGTAACCCTGTGACGACCGTTGAGTAGCCTGGTCGTCAACCCAAGAAGCGTCTGAGTGCCCAGTGAGAACAACTGAGCTCCCTCCTCCAAGCACGAGCCCCATGCCTGATGTACTGCACAAGTAGCGCAATACCCTCTTTGCAGCATCCCAGTGCACCTTTCGGTGAGGACCAGGAGCCACGTAGCGAGCCAGAAGGCCAAGAGGGTATGCTAGGTCAGGACGAGTGCAAGTCATCAGGTACATGAGGCAACCAACTAGCTCTGGGTAAAGACCACTCGACTCTACGGACTCATCCGAAGGCAGAGCTGAGAGCGAGTGACCTATAGCCAGAGGAGTGGCCTTTGCTGAGGACCAGGTGAAGCCGAAGCGCTGAAGGACCTGCTGCACCATGTGTGACTGAGTCAGGGTAATGGTGCGGCGTGCTCTGTCCCGGGTGATCTGCAAGCCAAGGTAGCTGCGCAGTTCACCCAGGTTTGTGCACGTGTGTCTCTTCTGCAGCTCCAACTTCACGTGGGCGAGAGACTCAGTGTCTGCTGTGGCAAAGACCAAGTCGTCGACGTAAACGAGGATGTAGAACGGCGGCAGCGAAGTGTCGGTGCGTAGAAACAGCGACGGGTCAGCAGTAGAAGGAGAGAACCCAAGTGCCGCAAGAGTAGTCCTCAGTGTGTCGTGCCACTCACGTGGCGCCTGGCGGAGACCGTAGACCGGTCGGCGGAGGCTCCACTGGGCACCAGGAGGGAACGACCCAGTGAAGCCAGGAGGGCGGCACAGCCATATCTCCTTGTGCAGATTGCCCTGCAAGAAAGCTGTGCTGAAGTCAAGAGAGTGAAGCTCGTAGTCGCGCTGAGCAGCAACGTGCAGTAGTACCCGAAGAGTGGTCATCTTTGGGGTGGGGGAGAAGGTCTGGAAGAAGTCTACTCCCTCTCGCTGACTTAAGCCTCGAGCAACGTAACGAGCCTTGAAGACAGGCGGAGAACCCGACGGCCGCTTCACCCTGAAAATCCACATGCCACTGACGATGTTCGCCCCATGTGGGGGAACCTCGTCGACGTAGGTTCCTGTGGACTTCCAGGACGCCATCTTTGTGTCCATGGCTGACTGCCACAATGAGGAGTAGGGACCCTCGATCGAAACTCCTCTTGAAGAACTTGCGCGCGAATCCACTCAAGGGACCACGAGTCCTTCATGCCATTAAGGTTGACCACCAAGGGCCCCCACGACTCCGGCAGCAGGGAGAGAGCCTTGTAGCACTTGATTTTCTTAGGGTAGTCCACACCGAGCAGTAGAGAGCTTCACAAAGAGGTCCCTGAGTTGATCGAACGCTCCTTGTACGGCATCACCCTCGTTGATCTTCACCGCATGGAGTTGTCGCTCGAGCACCACCACCATAGCTTCGCTGCTGGGGGCATGGACATCCTTCAATATCTTCCATGCCTTAGGACCACACTCAAATTCCTTGATGTGATGCTTGATGTGGTGCAGCTGGTTGGATGAGAGGCATTGGGAGAGAAGGAAGAATCCTTCCTTGGACCGGCGATCCCATTCTTTGGTCGCTCCTTCGCTCGCAGGCCTCTTCAATTCTCCATCCATCACTTCAAGCAGCCCATAATGGTTGAAGAGGAGCTCCATCCTGAAGCTCCATGATGCCCAATCCTCCCCAGAGAACTTCTCCAGGTTGAATGCCTTCACATCATCTTTAGCTGATGTTGAAACGGAAGCCATTGGTGCAGATCCGCCTGCAACGCCTCTTCCCGCTTCCCCAGCGCCTCTCACGCCACCACTGCCACTGGGACCAGCTGGAGCAGAACCTTCAGCCTCCATATTCACCCACGAACAGAGTAGAACAGCTCTGACACCACTTGTTATAGTCAAGAGTCCACTTAGAGGTCGCGGATGCCCATGAAACCGCCTAAGCAGAATCTGACGTCTTCAAACCGCCTCTGTTCAAATCGCCTGTCACGATCAGCTCCAATAACACATGAAGCTGAAACTTAGATAGACATTAGCCTTAAGTGTCTGATTTCCAATGGTGTATTTCTTGCTTTCACCAGAGGTGTATGCGCTACGCTGTGAACGAAAACGTAAGCTTGGCTGAAAAACGTGTATTCTCATTGATGCAAGGAAGAGGTGAGTACAACATTGTTTAGGGTACTCATAAGGGGTTAGGTCATCCTGGGAACTCAGAGAAGGTTGATTCCTAGGGGAGAAAGGCTAGAGAAAGATGGGAAACGTCCTAGCTAGGTCAGCAAAGCCAACCACACTTGGATGTTCAGAGCTGTACTCAAGGCTACCAATAGTGAGTCAAACCAACATGAGTCAGCTTGTCTTCCCACTTGCACCCTCTTGCAAGCTGCTTCCAGGAAGACCACACTTCTCAAAAGGAGAGCTGTAGAGTCCCACTTGACCACCTGTACTTCTTGTCTCATTCTCTGTCCCTGCACCATTGGCATGACAACAATGAAAGGGTGGCAAGGGAAATGCTGCCAACAGTGCACCATGACTACGGAACAGTGAATTTCGGCAGCTGTCACGCAATGCTCAGATGTTAGATCGTTCGGAAACTTGATGACCACCTGCACAGAGGGGCAAAGAACTGCCAGACCGAATTTCAGACCAATCGTAGCTTGGTAGACGAGTCAGCAGCCGAAATGGTGAACTCGGGTGTTACCAAAAAGGAGTAACACACACTTCCGGGATGCCATAAGTCTTGAAACATAAAATGTTGTCATGCCTTGGTAACAGCTTCAAAGACTCTGAAACTTTGAGGGTTTGAAGAAAACATGTTGAACAACCTCCCCTACAAAATTCCAGAAGCTGATCAGGCTTGTAGGCCGAATGGGAGTGCAATGACCGTGCCACTGTAATGTGTTGGCACAACAAGTACCTTCAGTAGCACCCGCAGCCCCAGCAGCTCCAGTACCGCCAGTACGAGCACCTCCGGGACCAGCAGCAACAGTAGTACCTCCAGCTCTAGCAGCACGGCTCCAGCGCCAGGCAAACCACTCGTGCAGCTCCTGCGGAGAGAGCGACTCCCACCTCGACGAAGCACCGCGAGAGGTCACACGAGCAGACCCAGCACCCCCAGGCTCCTCACACCCCCAGGCTCAGAACCCCCAGGCTCAGCACCCCCAGACTCAGCACACCCAGGCTCAGCACCCCCAGACTCAGCACCCCCAGGCTCCGCACCCCCAGGCTCCGCACCCCTGGACTCAGCACCCCCAGGCTCCGCACCCCCAGACCCGGCACCCGCAGGTTCAGCACCTCGAGCAGCACCAGAGTCAACAGCTACATCGACAGGCTCGACTGCGTCTACCTGGGACACACCTGACGGGGCAGGACCCTGAGGGGGGAGGGGGTCTACCGGGGGAGGACCTGGCGCAAGGAAGAGCGGCGGTGGGGGGAGGGGCGCAGTGCGGTAGGGGAAGAGACGGTAGTAAGGCACCGACTCGTCAAAGGTGACGTCCTGGGAGGACAGAACGCGGCGCGAGGTGGGGTGGTAAAACTGCCACCCGGGCGCGTCAGGGGGGAAGCCAAGGAAGACGCAGGGAACAGCATGGGGGGATAGCTTGTCCGAAGACAAGTCGCGGACAAACGCCCGAGATCCCCAGACCCGAAACGCAGACTGCATCGCCAACCTTCCCCATCCACCGCAAGGTGGGGGAGGTCTCAGGCAAGGAGACCCGGGGCTGAAGGTTGAGCTGATGCGCCGCGTACTGAACCGCAAACGGCCACAGAAAATGGGGGGCAGCCGCATGGATCATGGACGTACGAGCGACGTCCATGACCATGCCAATGCGGCGCTCAGCAATCCCATTTTGCTGTGGAGAGGCCGGAAGCGTGAAGGTCTGACAGATGCCCTGTGCACGACAGAAGGCTCCCAGACGGGCAGAGGAAAACTCCCCGCCTCTGTCAGAGTGCAGACGCAGAATAGGAAAGTCCGAGCCTGAAACTCTCTCTGAGCTGGAGACGAGCTGCGCGGATCCAGTCAATCAACACCTCATGTGAGGTCACCCTTGCTGCGCAAGGGGAAGACTGTGGTGTAACGCAAGTAGTCGTCAACCACCAACAGGAAGTAACGCTCGTACCCCTGTCCATGGACGCGGGCGGGGCCCCACACGTCCATGTGGAGAGTCTGTCGGAGGAAACTCGGAGGAGTGAGGGGCGGCGCGCTGTCGCCCCTCGACGCAAGGGGGCGCAAGTAGGGGCAGGCCCCGGAGGTTGGGAAGGGAGAGACCGGGGAAGACCAGACACAAGGACACGGGAGGCCATGCCTCGGAGACGAGGCAGGGAGGGGTGACCAAGGCGGTGGTGCCAAAGGAGAGTCTGGTGGGACAGGAGACGACACGAGCAGGCAGCAGACTCAGGACCAGACCTGGACGCTGGAGCAAACACCTGACTTGACGCAGCTACCTGACCAGACTCAGCAGTTGAAGGAGACTCAGTAGTAAGTGTGTACAGGCTCGACCCCGGCCGACGGGTGAACGTGGCCAAGTGTCGGCCTGGGTCCCAAGGCATTGCTGGTCCAGGAGGAGGAAGATGATGAGAAGGGAGCCGAGGGAAGAGATGGAGCAGATTTGTTGCTTCGGTGTCAACTTACCTCATGAACCAGCTTCAATGGAGGAAGCACTTGCTGGAGATGATCGAGAGGCTTGGTTGGCTTCAAGGGAGGATGAGTTTCAGAGCCTCATGGAGAATGGAACATGGACCCTCACTGATCTGCCCCCGGGAAGAAAGGCATTGGATTGCACGTGGATATTACGTGTGAAGACCGATGCAGAGGGGAAGTTGGAGAGGCGCAAAACAAGACTTGTGATCAAGGGTTTCCAGCAGAGGGAGGGGGTTGACTTTAAGGAGGTGTTTGCTCCTGTTGCCAAGGCTCCTACGCTCCGGGTGTTGCTGGCAGCAGCTGCCGCTTGTGGTTGGAAGGTGGAGAAAATGGATGTGAAGACGGCTTTCCTCTATGGCGTGGTAGATGAGGAGATCTACATGAAGCAGCCAGAGGGGTACGACGATGGGAGCGGACGTGTTTGCAGGCTCAACAAGGCCATCTATGGCCTCAAACAAGCTCCAAGGTGCTGGTATGCAAGGCTGATGGAGGCGTTGGAGGCTCTTGGCTTCAAAGTCAGCGGGTGCGACGAGAGTCTCTTCATGACCGAGGGGGAGGAGGAGAAGGTGTTTCTCCTTGTCTATGTCGATGACATTCTCCTCTTCTCTCCATCTCTAGAGAGGATCAAGGAGGTGCAAGGGAAGCTGAAGGAGACCTTTCAATGCAAGGCCCTTGGACCGTGGGGTATTACCTTGGTCTTCACGTGGAGCGGGACGAGATGAAGGGATGGTTGAGGCTTCACCAACACAAGTACCTTGCAGCCATGGGGGAGAGGTATGGGCTGGAGGAAGGGAGGAGTGTGAAGACTCCTCTACCCTCAGGGTTTCAGCAATACCTTGATGAAGAGGAGGGTGAGGTGTTGGAGCCCGAATTGTGTTGTGTGATGCAACCATATGCATTCACTGTTTGTCTGCCTCCCATCTTGTGTTTGTGCGTTGCATGCGTGGTGTGAGCGTGTGCAAGAAATTTGTGTCTTGTGTGGTTTGGATTTTCTGTGTGTGTGTGTGTGTGTGTGTGTGTGTGTGTGTGTGTGTGTGTGTGTGTGTGTGTATGTTATTTGGCTTGAGCAGATATCTGAAGTGATTCCTCTACTCAAGAGCTTTCCGACGAACCATGAATCGTCGCGATCGGAGCACAACCAAGAAAGTTACGAACATTGGAGTTCGTATGCTTATATATTTTGGTTGCAGCTACTTTGGGAAGTTGTGGCATTGACTCAATATGGGGTACAGACTTGTGGGGGTTGGGAAATTTCTAACCCATCACTGTAGATGCTGCCAAGAGGTTGGGTGAAGCCAAACCAGGTTGGTAAGTGTGGCCAAGTTGAGGTGAGGTGGATGGCATGGGTTGGAAAGTGACAAAGGTCAAAGATTGTTGCCTATGGGGAAGGGAATTGTGTGGCATGGGGTTTCCTTGGTTGGGGACTCTCTCTTAGGACCTTCCCTTTCGTCCTCCTCTTCCCCTCCTACCAGGTTTAGTGCTACTC